TTTCGTGCTGAAAATTTGAATTTCAAGATAAAGTAACCTGAACGACTCGAAACATGTTTCTTATAGGTTTTCGACAATGCTCTTTCCAGTGGCATCATTTTTAAATATTGAGAAAGTTTTCTGAAGGTTTTCCAGAGACCGGATCTCTGGAAAACTCCTTAGAAAACTTTTTCAAAACCCAACTCTCATGTAGGCGGAAACTAACAAGCCAATAGGGATCACTGAACGCGCTCGTTCAAAAAATTTTAGACTGCCGTCAACTTGAGATACTGACATAGATGATAAGTACCTCGAAAGCTCAAGCAAATTCACACTATGTCATGCAAATAGCTTTTATGTGAAACTACTTTTCGGACTCGCTCTCACACTGCCCTCGCGCAATAGTCGTGTCACGAACTTAAAGCCTTTAAGTTCATACATACCGTATTTGATAGACCGTATTTACACAAGAAAACTGTTCTATTTTTCCAAAATTTTTTCTTGTTTAAATATAGTTGAGGTCAAATTTCTTCTATAAGCCATACGGAATGAAGAAAGAGCAAAAAGAGATAGAATGAGGCTCAGTTTTAAAAAAAGTTCAGATATAACCGTTTCTCCTGCGTTTTGAACAACAAAATCAAGTCTCCTGATTTTCTGTGATTTCTTAGCGTTCTGAGTCGGCAGTCCTGGTCTGATCAGAAGTGGTTGAAAAATCGTCTTAAGCATTGCTCTTTGCATTCGTTCAATAGCTTCTGCCATTTTTTTCTACACGTTTTCGATGTTAGCGTACTCGTATAGAATGTGAATGTAAAATTGACATATTGCAGGCATGCAAATAAGTGATAGAGAAAATTTTCCATTTCAGTTGCAGGTCTTGTAGTGATAGTTAGTTGATAGACACGAAAGCCACTAATTGGCAACGAAAATAGAACATACGTAAACACTTGAATTAGAATGAGTTTTCGCATTGTTGATTCACGACGTTGACGTCGCTGTTGTTGGGCTGCGCTTCCGGCAGTGCCAATGGAAGGGGAAGCCAAAAATATAGTGATTGTGGGAACAGTAATTGCTCTTGCTCTTGGTGCCGCAGCAAGACGTTGTCGCTGTTTTTTAACGTTATTCAGAGTAAGCAAACCAAATATGATCATCAAAGTAGGTGGTAATAGAGTGTAAAACAAAAGATACCAGAACTGAAAAAACTTCGAGTACCATCCACCAGCCGCCTGACATTGACCGAATTGAATTTCAAAAAAGAATAGTATATGAATATAGAGTAGACAAGAAACAGCAATCACTGTTGGAATAACATAACGTGTTGCCGTTTTAGCTGTGGCCAAATTTCGATAGTTCACTTTTGATGATGAACGCAGATATCGATCAATACATGCCATAAGCAATAGTGCCGTCGATATCGTCGCAGCAGAATAACTTACATAGAAAATCCATTTACAATGACTGTTCGAATAGTTTCTCCAATTAATATTAAAGCCAAATCCCAAAAACGATCCTGGGAGTAGTCCTGTAGCGATCACAACAAAATTACTCACTGACGAAGCAAACACATAACGACTGCTTGAGTAATTCCGCAGTGACTTCAGGGTGAATATGATCAAGTTGAAAAAGTTCCCAAATAAGCCAGACACGATTAATATTGGTGGCAATGATCGAAATGCGTAGATACTGATAGTGGAAATAATGCTGGAGGATGACATAATGTGTTTTGGTTAAGAGAAGATTAATGAAGAAAATGAGAATACTACTGATCATAAAGAAAAGAGACACATAATATAAATACTAGCACGAATTCAAGAATTTGGTTGATGGAGCAAAGAGGACGCAGGTTAAGCCAGATGCGCAAATAACGGGAGGGTGTGGGATGATGCACATCCCCCGAATAATTGAAAGCTGTTGCTATTTTATCCATTACTCCTCACACAAGTTCTTGTTTTATCAATTTCATACTACCTCAGAGAAATTTTGATTCACCCCCCTAATGTTCGACTCCTGTTTGCGGCCCTGGATAAGGCCATACTAAATTGAAGAGAGTAATCTAGGAAAAAGGTTTCAAAGAGATGATACGAAATGTTTACAGAGGCAGAGAAAAAAATTTCGAAGGAGACTTTTTTCAAAAGTTGGAGACAGATGTTGTTAAAAAACAGCAAATTTTGAGAACACGAAACAAGTCATCTGCGAATAATAAAACTTACCAAATATAAATAATCTATCATGCAGAACTGAGAAGACATTTTTTCTGATCTCCGAGAACGTAACGTCTTCACAAAACATATCAGACTTATGTCAGATTAAAAGCTTATTACATTTGCAGATTATTCTATTGACTCAAAATCATCGTTATCGCCTGCTCGAGAGTATGATAATCACTGTAAAGTGAAATTTTTTTCAAAGATAAGGTGTTTGTAGAGAAAACGTTTTTCTACACGATCAGCTCTTTCATGCTTAAAAGTAATTAACGGCTGATGACGTGTATATCATTCTTTTCAACAGGCTTTTACATATGCATTATACTAACACAAAAAGAAAAAAACAATAAAACAGGATTATATTGTTCTTAGTTATATAAAGGTACACTCAATAGAATGATATATACGTCATAAGCTGTTAATTACTTTTAAACATGAAATCTTGTAGAAAAAGGTTTTCTCTACAAACCTGTTACCTCTGAAAAACCTCAACTTGAGTTAAACACTGGAAATAAGCAGATAAGTGAGTCATTCTCAGGATATCGTTAGCGAGCAGAAAAAAATCGGTTTAAATGACAAGAGATTCCTAGTCAATTTTAAGTACCTACAACAGGTACATGCAGTATTTCAAGCACTATCTAATGGTATATTTGACGTTACTTTTTGATGAGTTTTGGTTGACAAATTTTTATGTAAAAGTTGACTAATCAATTAGAAACACGACTTTCATCCTCAGCTATTTTTAATAATTCATCGTGCAACCCAGACTTTGCCCTCCCAAGAGCGAAAAAACAACATGGAACGTGCGTCGGAACCCCGTTTCGATCCTGTTCACGACTGATAAAAATTTCCAGCTTTGTCCGTTCCACACCCGTTTACAAATTTGCATTTAATGGAGTTCAAAAGCCCGTTTCGCAAAGTCCATAAACGGGCGTTTAAGAACTGGTTCTCAACTGTCCTTTTCTGTTCAAGTTTATGGGAGTTCAACAAGCCGAACATAGTGTCGAATCCGCTTTCGCTATGAACTAAAATATAAACGAGTTCGCAACGAATTATTTTCAGTCCGCATTCGTCAATTTTCAGTTCACAATTCGCATAAAAGAAATGACTGTATTCTTATTTACTATTGTCAGTATTAGATGAAGATAGGAATTTAGAAATGAGGAATACTGTAAGTATGCAGGAATCAAAGCTGTTAGAATACACAAAAAATGTGTAAGATGAAATGTACTGCATGAATATATTGTTATAGTGTAAGTATAAGTTAAAAGTCGACTGATCCTGACACTCGAGACGTATTCGTTTTCATGCTTTTCATCGCTTTCATACTTTTCAACTTTTCAAGCGTTTAAATTTTTACTGCTTTTCATACTTTTGGTGGCTTTCATACTCTTCATCTGTCTTTCACACTTTTCATTGCATGAAAGGGAATGAAAAGTATGATAAGTATGAAAGTGGTGAAAAGTACGAAAAGTAGAAAACTGTGACAGCGATGAACAGTATGAAACGGACGAAAACTATGAAAAGTATGAAGCTAACAAAGGCATTTGAAAAGTATGAAAGCGGATGACCCGGATGAAAAGTATAAAAGCGGATGACCCGGATGAAAAGTATGAAAGCTATGAAAAGTAGAATTGTTTGAAAAGTGTGAAAGCAATGAGAAGCATTACCCCTAAGAGAGGCAGACGAAAAGTATGAAAGGCATGAAAAGTGTGAAAATGATGGAAGCTGATGACTCGGATATACGCTATGAAAGCGATTGAAGCGATGAAAGCGATGAAAACTGAAAAGCAGAACAGTTTGAAAAGTATGAAAGCAATGAAAGGTATGAAAACTATGAAAAGTATGAAAGCGACGAAACGGATGAAAACTATGAGAACTATGAAAGAGATGAAAAGTACGAAAGCGATGAAACGGATGAAACCTATGAAACGTAGAATAGGTTGAAAAGTATGAAAGCGATGAAACGGATGAAAACTATGGAAAGTAGAATAGTTTCAAAAGTTTGAAAGCGACGAAAAGCATTACCGCGCTAAGAGAGGCAGATGAAAAGTATGAAAACGATGAAAAGTATGAGAGCGGTGAAACGGATGAAAACTATGAAAGAGATGATAACTATGAAAAGTAGAATAGTTTGAAAGGTATGAAAAGGTTGAAAAGTATGAAAGCGATGAGAAGTACGAAAGGTAGAAGCCTGGGAGAGCGAAGAAAAGTATGAAAACGATGAAAAGTATGGAAAGTTGACTAGTATGAAAAGTGGGAAGGCTGTGAAATGTATTAAAAGTATGAAAAGCGGAATAGTATGAAAAGTTTGAAAAGTATGAAAAGTAGAAAAAAGGGTAGAAAAGTGGAAGGAAAACTAGGAAGAAGACTGCTGGCGATTCTTCGTAGAGAAAAGTATTTTACACATTTTTTGTGTATTCTAACAGCCCTCGCAGGAATGAAAGAGTGGTAGTATTGAGAAAGTAAAGAGTGATTGAGTGAGAAATGAAGGAAGCGAGGAATCAAGGAGTGAAGGAATCAAGGAATGAAGGAATCATAGGATTGAGAAAGTAAGGAATGACAGATTGAGAGATGAGGAAATGAAATCATGCTAATGATAAAGCAAATAGTGATAGATTAGGAGATGCAGGAATTCAGGTATTAAAAAGATAAAGATTCTAGGCATGTACACTGTAAAAAATAAAGTGTGTTACTAGGTGTTGTAAATCGTCTAAACAGTCACTCAGCATCGAAAAGTATGTACTTTATCACGATTTTAGAATCGTGATCACCGTTCTCGAAAGTATATATGCTGTCACTCTGAGCCAAAACAAACAAGAAAAACAAGCGAAGAAAACAAAGATGGAAAACAAGATTGTTAGTCGATCGATGTTCTCCCGTTCACCCTCGAAGAGTGAAGAAACCTGTACAACAGAGGTGATGATGGGGGGGGGGGGGGGGGGGGCCCGGGGGGAGGCGCGGGGG